AAAANAAAAGAGAAAAGTGGTACATCTCCCTCGAGGCCATTATCTTGACCCACACCTGGTGTTTTTCATCAATTGGCCGCCGCAGCATTTGCATCTTTACAATCCACACATGCCACCGTCCCAGAGCTCATTTCATCACCCTGGGGGACCCCCACACCCCCCCTTCCCATCATCAGTGTACCGCACCAATCGAGGCACGCTGGCCAGCAGTCATGTCCGTCGAGCTGTGTCGACATGATACGTGCCGTCGAGAAGTCATCATTCTCCGCTTGGCTGCCCTGCACCTAGAGACAAAACTCCTAACGATGGCCTGATGAATCGGTTGCTTCATGACATCGCTCGGTCCGAAGGTTGGGATCATGGATGCGTCTGCAATGACAGACCACTCATCTGACGCGAATCCTGCTGAGTCGGTGGTCACCACCATGTCTACCACACTTCTCCTTGTCCCTCGTGGGTGCTGATAGGAAAAGGGCATGCGCATTGTCGACATGTTGGCGTCGAAGTTGATGGGCCCGCTATCCCGTCGCCGATCGTTCCAAGAAACCATTTCCGTGTCCTCGAACTCTTCCACGGTCGAAAAGGCAATGTCGACCAAGTCAAAGCCAGGGGAGAGGGGTGTTGGCGCCAAACTGTCGCTGCCATCTTCGTCTGAGGGAACTATCAAGATGCTGCTGGGTACCGTGATGATCTTGGTAGACGCGGACGGTGTGTACCCGTCATCGTCTTCTTGTCGGCTTCGCTTGCGGGACCGTAGCGTCCGCGAACTGACTCTCATAGTAGCGCGGAGGGGTGTGGGCGGTACTTCGCCAGGCCTTCCCAGGGATCGCTCAACCGCCACACATCCGTTGGATGCCTTGGGGGTTGTTGTTGTTGTTGTTGTTGTTGCTACCAGATGGTTGGCCATAAATTGACCAAGCTCGGGAGCGAGTCCTGAGTCGGCGAGTCGGGTCCGGAAAGAGCAGGGATCATATCTTTTGGCGAGAGCCACGATGGGGGTAGTTGGTACCGGCGACTCTACTGCCCTTCTCTTGTCTTCCTTCTTGCTTCGGACCCTTTTCCGGGACATGAGGCGCCTAAGTCTGCCATTGATGCTGTCGGGGTCTTGGGAGGTGGTGAAGGGGAGCGCCATGTTTGCTTGAAGATGGATGAATGCGATCCTAGACAAATCTAAGGATCTCGTGAATACGTTCTGCTGAGAAGATGGTGTTGGTGGGCCGATGTGACCGAATGATGTCCGCCGAGGTGTTATCCTTGATTCTGCTGGCTGCAAGAAGGGGTATATTGCATTACTCAAAGGCTTGAAAGGGTGCTGAAGACGTGCTGAAAGGTGCCGGCACCTCTACTTTGGAGCTGCTGTCGTCCCGGTGTTTGCTTGCTGCGTGACTGTCTAGAGGTACCTAATCTGAATGAGGGACTGTTTGGTTCTGCGTATCGTCGTATCCAGGCTCCTGGCGGCAGGCGTGGCTCAGCAAGCACAGCTATGTGCCTAGCGTAACCGTACGTCTCCAGCTGCCTTGTGATGCAGTAAGGTTTATGCCGTGAAGAGAAGTGACCAACGCCCGGTGTGCGACCAGCGCTCCTTGTGCGTAGAGGACCAGAGCTCTGAAGCACAGGACTTGAAGCTATGTTCCTTCCTTCAGCCGAGAGGCTTGGTGGGTGGATGATGGAGAGAGAGTGAGAGTGGAAGCCTCCGGATGAAGCGGTGACCACAAAAGTGCAAGTGCAACTGTCGACGACTTTGTTCCCGATCACTCACTCTTTCGTTAGGCCGGGCGACCCGACGTCATGGAGCGTCAGACGAAACGTTCGACTGGTGGCAGCTGTCTCCCAGCAAGCTCCGTGCGACGGAAGACGGAAGTCAAATGGAAGGCAGGCGGGAAAAGAGCTTGAGGCGGAAGGTGAAGCTGCACAGAAGCTTTCCGGACATGATGTCTACATCCCATGGGGCATGCGGCTTGCTTCGTGCTGACACGCGTCTCTCTTTAAATAACAAGGCGACATGGGGGCACCTGTAACCACTCGTGCCCCCACATGGGAACGTCTGGACCAGTGTACGACGCTCTTATTAGCCTTGACAAGTTGACATGCTGGAACACAGGTTCACCTGATGCCGAGGAGGGTGTGGGTGGGTAGGTAGGTATGTTGCGCTGGTGAGTAAAACGTCCGAGTAAGGACCAAAAAGTGGAATGACACGAACCATGTTGAGCTTGGTGCCCGACCGACATGCTACCAAACAAAGTGACCACTCGGCTTATTACGGTGTGAACTGGGCTACAGTATTGAAAGCACCCCCAGCAACAAGCGGGAGGCGGACCACACAGAGGCGGCAAAGGCGCTCAGGAAGTTGCAAAGTTGTAAGAACAGCTTTGATGGACTGTGAGGTGTAAGTAATCACGGGCCGGGCCTTTCGCGTCACCGCCTTCCCGTCGCTGGCCCCCCAAGGCTGGGCAACTCTGTAGCGAATCCAAGACGGCCACATGTATCTGGGGGAAATTGCTAGCTTGCAAAGTAGCACCCCAGTAGTCAGCAAACCCGCATGCGTGTTGACTGCGGATGCCTATCATGTGGCTCATCGTGATCGTGCAATGGAGACATACCGACCCTTCCAATTCTTGCTGCTCCGTACTTTCCCGGGCAAGCCAAGAGATACCGGAGCACGAAGCAGAGATCGGGACCGAAGAATGGGTCTAGCAAGCCGGACATCGGTACTACGATCCGAGACCCACATCGGGCCCCATACCGGTAGATCAGCCCCGCTGCCCCACAGTCGACGGACCCACGGGAACACAATCCCGGTTATCAATACCACTTCTGTCCATCAAGAGTCAGGACAAGATATCTGAAACAGCCTGAGACATCCCAAGCATAAAACAAGCACCCTGTAGTGAGTTGGCAGAAGCAGTACAAAGGTTCTCAGCATGGCAATGAGGCATTTTTTGGGGGGTGATTTATGTGTCGACTTTCATTCGAGACAAGTTATTGTAAGTTGTCAGAATTATTTGACAGCATGACTATCATACGTAGTCTACCAAACCACGTCAACTCATCAAAAATATCGTCACCAAAAAAAGGACCAAATAAAAAGAAACAAAAAGTAGAGGAGTCCAAAATCCGTAAAGATAAGACGCCGCTCGGAAAAAAAAAATACGCCCCTAGTTCCGACAATAAAGAAGCCTGCTGATTCCAGGCCATTTTCAATATTTGCAGCGAGAGACAAGAAACAAAGCCCCAACAAGAATATATAACCTCAACGCCGGGTCAGTATCCCTGTCCAGTCAGTCGGACATCAGCCGCCGACGTCAAGTTCCCAATACCTATTTTCCTTTCCCATCCTTATTCCCAATACTCCCCCAATTTGACATGTCCTCATTTTCCTTCCTTCTGTCTGCCAGAGCTCGCGAGGGTCGGGGTTCTTTCTTTCTTTCTTTTTTCCCCATTAACGTCACATCGTTCCTTTCTTGGCCGCCTATGTCCCAGTAGTAGGTTGATGCATGCCTGCTTCACCGCCCTTCTCAAAAGGACGGCATCTGCATCTTCTCCTCCAGACTGCAAAAGTACATATCGTCCGTCGGTCTTGGCTCCAAGACATTTGTGAGCTCCTTGGGGCCGGCCTTTTCTTCCTCGTCCTCGGGTTCTGAAGGCACCAATCGAATGCCGAACAAAGAGCTCATGTTGCTGCCGGCGCGGTTGAGCGTGCTGCGGCTGGCCGTCGAGCTGGTTGGCGATACGAGTCTTTCCACCTCGCCGTCTGAGCTGCTAGTCCGGGACGAGGACGACGATGAGCGGGACCGGCGGCTGCGCAACGAGGTACGGAGACCGTGGGGGGTCAGACGAGCGGCAAGGGAGTGGAAGCGTGAGTTGTGCATTATGAGTGGTTGACTGAAATGTGCGGATGTTTTTTTTTGGTTCAGGTTGTTGCTGTCGTTGTCGTCAAAGAGTGTGGAGTAACCCCGGTGGGTACGGTGAGTGGCAGCGTCTACTGACGGTGATGTGTAGAGCGAGCGATAGGTGTGACGAGACTGAGCAAAATCGTCTCTCTCAAGTGTTCGGAAGTCTTATGAAGCTGGGTTTCTTGCTGCTGAAAATGACTGGCTTGTTATACTGGGCTGGGCCGCAGATAGATTTGAAACCCAAATAATAATAAAAAGAGAGTAATGTGACAGAGACAGTTACGAAAGAACAAGAAGCCGGCTCTTGGTTCGTTCTTTTTTTAAGTCAATGTACGGGAGACGGGAAGGTTGAGAACTGGACGGCGAGCTTGAGCTGACGAAGTAAAAGGGCAAAAGCCGGACTTGGAGCAGAGAAGTGGGCGAAAGTCTCTTTAAGTAGACATCAGCATTGATGACCGTCTTGATGGAAGTGCAAGGGTACCTAGACTTTCGATCCGTCACCTGGAGCCGGGAAGTCGCTCCCAAGGGGGGTGGGGGGGGGGTGAGGGTGGTCCGGTGTCGTCGACGTGCAATTGCTCCCCCCGTTGAAACATTGCACAGAGATGAGTGGCAGAAAGAGAGAAAGGGTCCGGGAATGCCAAGGGAAAATGGAAACCACTACTACCCTGCCTGACTGTCGTCCACCCGAGGGACTACCTAAGTAAGTCGCAAGGGGATAATGGAAAGGTTAAATCGGTCATGCATTCCATCTCATGAAACAGGACCGACGGTTCCGGGAAAAAAGGTGATTGTGATGCAAGGAGACGCCAACTGTCAACCAAGCCAACAGCCCAGACTCGACTCACTACGAGAGCACAAATCACCAACCTAAGCCATGATACCAACAATCGGTTCTCTTAGATTTGCGAATCGTTGATCATCATTGGGGTTTTTCAGCTCTCTTGCTTATTGCGATTCAGTGCCTGTGGGGAGCCATGCATAGATATGGGGAAGACCGTGGACAAGGACGAGGACGGGGATAGCCTTGAAAAGGACAGGTGCCATCATGCAATGGAAGTCTGGCCAGACCATCCAAGTGGTGAAACAAGTTCCGAATCTTCGCCTTTTGCCCTGGTTAAGCGGGCCCTTTTGAAACCAGCACAGGCTCGATGGGATGGTGGATTCAAATCGCCAAGGGGGACTTTAGTGTAGACATGACATGACATACATTAACAGATTAATGAGAGAAATGCACTGGATGTTGTTAGTATCCCCCACACATCCAGGGGGAGGACGCACGTTGGAGCGGTTTCAGGGGTATTGGAAAAAGCGACACCTAGTTGCATGTGTTTCACAAGGAACATCACAAACCTTATCCTCGCCTCTGTCAATGTTACCCATCCACGCCCTTTTGCCCTCAGTTGGTTGTCGCTATATGATGAGTTGCCGGTGGAATAGTAACCATCACTGCCGGACATGATTCCTAGGCAAAACCTAAGCCACCTCCTCGTGTGCCTGCATTACTGCATAACATGACAGCTTAAGCAGCCTCAAGGATCATTCTTCGCATTACTGGACATCGTTTCTCTGACTAGGTACCAATGACTCCTTAGCTCCCTCCCCATCCATGTCGAATATTCCATATTACTCTTTCCCTTGTCTCCTCCAAGTCCAGATCACAAACAGAGGCAGACGAGACAAAGTCGTCAATGGCAAAAGAGACATAAATGGATCTTTCTGTATCCAGTCCTTTAATCATCACGGTTCGATGGCGAATCTGGTGGGATTGACCAAGCGAAGAACCACAACAGCTGCACTGAATGAGGAAACACCAACATGACGCCTCAGCTTGTACACCAAAAACGCAATATGTATGCACAAATGAAATGATTATAGTACAAGATTATTTCGCCATAAGTTCTCGTCATCGTCGCATCTCCAATTGATTTAGTAAGCCCCCGAGTATCCTCCCCCGGAAGTTCTTGACCCTCCTCCCCAATCCGTATCATTCTGGCTCCGTCTCATCGTCGCGCTCCTCCTGATACTGGCCACCCACACGGAATCATCCAGCATCGAGCTGAGTTTCGAGGGACTGACGGAGCTTCCGCGCTTGGCACCCTCGCCGCCGGGGCTTCTTCCGCCATTATTATCATCCAGAGCACTTCCGCCACCCAATCCCATGCTATCCATCGTCCCTGACCCGCCGCCCCAGCCACCGGGCGAAGGGGCGTTTCCTCCTCCAATTCCTGAGGAATCGTGCAATTCGAAGCTGTAGGCATGCGTGTTGCGATGCGACGCAGAGTTGGACGACTTGTTCATGCGAGGGCCGGCGAGTGGATGGCCGTATGAAGTATCAAACGACGAAAGGTCGGCGCTCGCCCCAGACCAGCTGCGGTGATGAGCTGCGCGAGCATCGTCTGCTGATAGGAAGGATGCGCCACCGCCGAGATTGACTGTACTGGAACCAGAGCCGAACGGATTCGTGGGTGTGGATTCGAAAAAATTCGTACCAGCAGCAGTACTGCTGCCGCTTCCGCTAGCTCTTGCACTGTTTTTGCTGTTGCTGTCTTTGTTTTGCTGTTCATTGTCTGTTTGATTTTCATGATCGTTGTCCACGTAGATTTCAGGTACGCCCAGCTGTGGAATCGCCGTGAGCCGAGCAGACCGCTTGAGCTCCATGTGGCGCTGAAACTTGCGAGAGTAGTAAATCATGTCGAAGAACCCGAGGACGACGCGACGGTGTATTTCCTCCTCAACGCGTTGAAGACGTGAGCGGCGACGAAGGAATTCCTCGAGACTGTGAGATAATGTCAGCAATCAGTTGCGTCTTTGCTCGGCTTATGGGTTTCAGTACGCACCGTAAGCTCTTGCTGTCGTTGATAATCTTGTAATGTGCCAGAATCATAAGAACAGTGGTAAAGGAAATGCCTCTTTCTGGATCCGCAGATACCATCACCTCCTCAAAGAAGATGTTGAACCGCCGTCTGCGTTCGCGCACCTTAGCGACATCAATTTGTGATATCCGTTCGTTCAACTTTTTGAGATCCAAGCTAGTTTGAAACTGCGTGGTACTAATGATCGAGGCATGTCTGATGCTTGACGTATCTTCACCACGAACATCTTCGAGGATCTGGCGCACCGAATCATGGCTTTCATAAATGCGCATCTCGAACACGCCCGACAGTTCACCCAAGAGGCGCGGGAAAGCCTCCTTGCTGATAAATCCAGTCCCTGAAGGGTCAACACTGCGCCATGCTTCCTTGAAGCGCCGGATCTCGTCCCGATCCACCATGGCAAGTCCGCTTGTCCGCTGGTATACGTACGAAAAACTTTCGTAAATCAGCGAAACAAACAAGTTAACAAAAATGTACATGCTGATGATGTTCCACGCGATGAAAAGAGCACGCGCCCATGCGGTGCTGCCGCAATCGCTGTCAGAGAAATTGGTGCTCTCCACACAAAGCGGCGGTTTGATCTTAGCAAAGTCTTCCATAACCTGATTCCAGCCCTCTCCGCAACTGAACCGGAAGAGTAGGATCAGGGCATTCGGCACCGTACGGAGATTGACATAGTAATCAGTGCTATCTCCGAAACGGGTGAGACTGAATGTCTGTGTAAGTGCAATCGCAAACACCAGGAAGAAAACGAGCCATGTGGCCAACAGGCTTCCGATAGTTGTCAGACTGGCGGCAGCTGTCTTGAACAGTTGATCAAGCGCATCATTGCGGGGAATGAGCATTAGGACGATCGCCACCAGAAAGAACTTGTGTAATTGAATGTACGTGTCCAGCTTCGTGTTCGTCATGAAAAGGATCGTCGTGGCGAATGCACCAGTAACAGTGATGAGGGAGAACATGTCCCAAGAACTCTTGCGAAAGCGGCTCCAGCCAAGCCCCACAATCCGAATCACGATGTTGGCGATGTAGATGAGTGTGAAGAGTAAGAACAAAGCGTCCCTGGTGTTTGTCCACCAATCTGGCTCGCTGTAGAATTCGGAGAGAAGGAGGATAAGATGCAAGACCAGAACGCTGGTGATGGCCATATACCATTTCCCTCGCTTCTCAATGGCACGTTTATGGCACCATATCTTCCACTTGTTCTTACTCTCGTCATATGAGCTTTTGGACGGCGAGATTTGGCGGAGAAGCTTCCGCAGCTCGAGCCAGGATCTTTGCTCGGCAGTCAGGAAAGCAACACCTGTTTGTTCAGTATAGTTTCTCATGAACACAGAGATAAAGAGCGTCAACACAAAGACTGTCGCCAATAGGTTGAAGACGACCAAGAACAACGCGTTTCCTTGGCCCCTGTAGGGAGCCCCCGACTGCGGCTGCAAACCCCTACCGGTAATGGCTTGAAGAGCAAAAGACACGTCAACCCAGCCCTCTTGGCTCACAATCTGGAAAAGAATGAAGAGAGACGAGCCAAAATCGTCAAAGCTGAAGTATGGGTTCGCTACTGATCTCGGAGCAAGAACGGGCCAATCGTTGTTGTAAGGGGTGCTGTTCCATTCACCAAAGCAGTCATCCAGGCTGACTATTCCCTCCGAGCTGTCGTTGCATGCAAGCAGTTTACCGTGGAAAAGGTTGACCCCATAAATAGCAAAGGGAATAAGGAGGGATATAGAAACGAAAGCAGCGCTCAAGATCTTCCACCCGCCCACGATGAGGAGCGAGTGGAAAGTGTCCATCGCACTTTCGCTGATGTTGAGCAGACGCAGGGCCCTTAATGCTTTGAAGGCACCCACAGCTCTAGACACGGCTCCGTTTCGGGTGAATAGAGTGATGACGTTGATCCAAAGAGTTATGAGCACAATGGCATCAATCACACCCCAGGTGCTGCGGAAGTATGCATTTGGTGTCCAAAGAAAGCCGTCTGCTATAACCTTGATGAGAGCTTCAAGGGTGAAGACAATGGCAAACCCCGTGTCTACCCAACGGAACCAGTCAAACGCATTCTCGCCATACTTTTCGAAGTATTCCTTTTGGTACAAGGGTGTGGTAATGCAAGCCAGCACCACCATGATCACGATGGCTGCATAAATCAGAGTCGAGAAGGTGTACCATGCATATTTATTGGGCCCCGCCCCCTCGAAGCGCTCAGTTCCCCGACCAGGGCCGACCAGACTTTGACAAAGACGTCGTATGGGATTTCTGGGTTTGAAAATGAACAGGGAATTGTTGTAGTTGGGGTGGCGCATCAGATACTCTCTCTGTTGCCTCTGGCGGCGTCTTGTGGCATTCATCGCCTGGGCGGCCATAGTTCGTGGATCGAGATTCTCACCCAGCCCATGCAAATTGACGTTCGAATAGAAAGGGTTGGGTTCACGGCTAGTAAACACTGACACGAGTTTTCCCCAAAAAGAGGAGAGTACCCCGGGAGTGACACCGTCATGTTGCATGGCTGCACTACTATTCAGATGGGAAGTTGGCTGACCATCGGGAGAGCTTTGCTGAAGAGGGTCCATATCGTCGTCAAGGAAGTCGTGTACCACGGCCTCTTTCAGAAGCATCTCCATCATAGCAGGGCCATAGTCGAGCGGATCCCTCTGTTTTCTTGACCGGCCAAAATTGAAAACTTTGGATAATGCCAGGTTGCTCGAAGAAGAATGTCCTAGTTCCTTGCGCTGGAGGAATGCCTTAACCTGTTCAAGACGCTTGACATCCTCTCCAACATCAAAATTTTCTTGGATGACGGCAATGAACATGTTGATCAAGATAAAATAAGCGAGAATGAACCAGCCGACGAGAAAAATGGCGCCAATCCAAGCAGTGTGCAGGTGGTGAGTGCTGGCAGTGACGCTGTAGAGGATGTCGGTCCAGTTCTCAGTCGACATAACTTGATACATCCCCAGAAAGGAATTATAAATGGTGTTGAACGGGATTCTAATTTCCTCTCCACCATCATCTTCTCTCGGTAGTTCGCCACGGAATAATTGCGCTGCGAAGATGGCCATCAGGAAAGTGATGAGGAAGACAAACGACATTAGATTACCGATACCAGTGACGTTTCCGAGCACAAGCCGGATTAATTTCCTTGTCATGGGAATAACCATGACTAAACGGTAAACTCGCAGGATTTGGAACGCGGTAAGCCAATTGTAAACTTGGCCAGAATTCCGTATAGGAGGGACGAGGATGATCGAGGTGGCTACAGCAAGCCCCAAGTCGACAAGGTTCCGTTTCCTACGGTGGAAACCTCGAATGTCTGCAGCCAAGCGGATGATGATTTCGACATCGAGCAGAAGAGTGACCACAGGCTCTGCTATATTGACGAAACGCTCTCGGTCTGACTTCATCCTGGCGCTGCGGAGAGACTGGGCCAAAAGTCCAAAAGCGATGATCAAGATCCACAAAGGTTTTGTCCTGTTATATATTCTTTGCAGCAATGTCGGCCTACGCATGGTATCATCAACTCGAGATGAAGTCATGCCAGGAGGTTCATCCGCAGTAAAAGCGCTAGCCTTGGACTCTTCTCGGATGACCTGAAACGACGACGTGATGACGGCAATCAACAAGTTGGTCATCCAGAGCAACATTATAAGAATGCCAGCACCATAGAAGAGGGCCGACGGGAGGAAATCTGAGCGGATGGTGTGATACATCAAGTCCGACCAGGTGTTGGCGCTCATGATGACAAACACGAGCTCCAAAGAATGGCCGATATCGTCGAAATTGACCGTTCCATTAAACGGATTTTCTTGCCGGATGCATATTGAGCCTCTCGGGCAGATGAAGCCCTTGGCACGCGAAGTTCCGTTCTTCAAATCAATTAGAGATTCCTTTTCGTGGCTATAAACCCAGGGCATGGTTTCACCCGTCACGTTGTCAATATGCCCTCCACAAAAGGTCATATCCGGCGTATAAGCTGCTTGGAAGTTGGTGGGATCATCGGGATCTATCCAAAGACATTGACGACTCAGACTTGACTTAAAGCTCTGCACGCCAATGATGGCAAAGAGAAGCCAGAAGAAACCCATCAAGAAGGAAACTCGGACGAGCAACGGCGCGGCCTTCTTCAGACTTCGTAAGATGATCAAATTTCCCTTTGTAAGGGCGAGCAATCGAATGATGCGCAAGCAGCTTAGCATGCGGAAGACGTACATATGGTGCTTGCTCTCAAGACCAGTGACGCCTAAGACGAAGGATATCCAGAAGGAGACAACGGCTACGAAGTCTAACCTATTAAAGCCATGGCGGAGAAAGGCGCGGCGAGCCAGGTGACGTCGCTGTTGATCCTCGAGCGTTTGAATTTGACTGTGGGCCATGGTAAAGGATCTCGTGAACGGAGCAGGCTCGAAGGGCTCTTGCCGGGTTTGACGAACCGATCTCTGACGCTGAGGTCGGAATATAACCCGATACTGTTCGGCCAGCCTTTCACGGAAGCGCCGTTTGTTCTTGGCTTCTTCGTATTCGGGGGCGTTGATGATGAAGCCAGACACAATGATTCTTGCTATGAGTTCGATAGTAAAGATGACAAACAGGACAAATATGGCCCAGTCTATCCTGGTGCTACCCCAACGCTCAGGCCGACCGTTTCCATCAGCCAACACATCTGGCGCAGCCTCAACAGCTAGTAGGACGGCTTGAAGAACGATTAAGATGAGAATGAGTGGCTCAGCCCATGGGTTGACCAACAAATCGCAAAGCCACAAGCGCAGTGGATTGTCAGGGGAAAATATCCCCAACGACTTGCCCTTGAGCGGATTGTTCCTAGGATTGCGTGACCGGGGCCTGAAGGCCGGGTGCTGCTGTGGAAAGACATGATGCGATTCAGGTCGCTTTTCCGTGGGGTTTTCTTCGATTTGTGACGGATAGGAGGTGTCAACCAGCATGGGGCCCGATGCGTGGCCCGTCCGCGGGCGTTCCATGCTGGGCGAGCGTGAGCGGTCTCGTTGCGTTTGCTGGTCAATCAAATCACCCTCTCCACTGATCATGACAACACGCTGAGACATGGCCCTCATAATGGAACCTGCCCTTGACAAAGCGCCACTCGTTGATAGCGACCGAGAGCGGCGTCCATCACTAGGAACCAGACTATCTCCATAACTCCGGTAACGGTCCGCGGTAAAGTTGTTTTCCAGATCAAAACCAAGCATGGTGTTGCGGGGTCGCGAGGAGCCACTGCCAAGATCAGAGACGGTCTGGAAACTATCTCTTGGTACAGCCTCTCCTTCTGGCGCGTCCAATCGACCGATGGGCTGGGCTGCGGGCTTCAGAGGGACTCTATCCGACTCCACAGAGTCCGTATCAGTACGCTCCTCGTAATAGGGGTGCGGCACACTGTAGGGGTCATTGGCGGCAGGCATATAGGAAGCTGAAGAGAGCGGTTCATGACCATGGCCAGGAATATTCGGAGGCAAGGCGAACTGAAGCGCCATGTGGTCCTTGAGCGAATCAGCGGCGCTTCGGTCGTCGTGGCCGGGCGGAAATGGATGTTCCCAGTACGTCGAGAAGCCGGGAAGGTTGGCGGACATGGGAGCAGCCGAAGGCGAGGCCATGTGAAGTCCGGCTCCCGAGTCGCGGACGTTATTATTGGTTACGCTAGTCCTCCCACCGCCGCCCTCTTGCTCCTCCGAAACCGGTCGTAGATCGCACAATGGAATGGACTGCTGGTGGGAAGGAGAGGATACCGAGGCCCGTCGGGGCGAAGGTGCTGGATGATCGCTCATTTTGACTGATCAACAGTTTTTGTGTTGTTTCTGGGCAGTCTCCGAGGCAAGCAACACTAGTTTAAGGCTCAGCGCAACGTGCCACAGCACTTGGAACATATAATGTCAGGATTTGCAAGCCAGCATTATATGGGCACCAAGGGACCTTGAGCTAGCGTCACAGCCATGGATCTGCGCGCTCGAAGTCGGACGAAGCTGACAGCTATGTGGCAATGGTAAGACGCACGAGCTGGAGTGATGTCAAACGTAGTAATGCTACAGTCTCCCGACAACCGCCGTATGTCTCGAAGAATCGGCTTGATGGTACGGATTGTCTTGTGAATTGCTCGACGGCTCGGTGGAATTCCTCGATTTCTCGGTCGATCGATCGGTCGGTCGGTCATAGGCTAGTTGAGGCGTAGGTCAAGGAGATATGCGCTGGGCTCCATGAATTGGATATCGCGGCAAGCAGGGCAACGAGGGGCGCAGTCAGGGGGGACCAGCTGGATGTGGTGATCGGAATCGCAGGATTCGCAGGGAAGCGGAGGTGTAGACCGGCAAATATAAGGTAAGGTAACGAGCGAGTAGGACGACAGATGGACGGGGAGCGCGGCGCTCTTTCTTTTCTTCTCTGTATTTATCTGCAACCAAGGTGGCTTGTATGTCCCGGTTGTTGAACGTGGATCTCGATTGTTGAAGAGAACGGAACTGAATAAAAAGGTATGGGCGAAAACAAGGTCAAAGCAATGCTTGCGACGATAGGGTCCGTGGTTCTGTTTTGCGGCTGTTTGCGGGGATGATGTCCTGACGAGGTCCGCCTGGTTGAGGATTAGATGTCAAGGGAAGGGAAAGATGTCCATTCATTCTAGAAGTCCAATGTTCAGCTTCAAAGCGTTCTCGACCCGGGGATGCCAGTCGGCGCTGCCTGGGGTCGGGCGGGCCACCTTCCAGCCGCAGTCTCAGGGCAGTCTCCGCTTTTCGCTAGGCTGTCTGGACTCAATTCCACTTTGACGTTTCCTGTTCCTGGCGTTCCTGCTCAATCCATCCTACCTGCGCTCGTGCACTACTGCGCGGTTACAGCACAGGTGCAGCCCAGTACGGCCAAGGTAATTTACAATACGCGTACACAAGCGTATAGGACCCCACCCGCCGAAAGTGAAACACGAACGTATCAGTGGCATCCCTGTGAGATCTTTGATGACATAAGCAGGTGGAAGCGGCCCGCTGGCGCCTCACTCCACCTGTCCGTGCCTGCCGCGGAGCTTATGACCCACTTGTCAAATGCCGGTCCCGTAGGTCCTCGCCAGAGGGGTGGAATCCAATTCGTTCAGAAACTGCCTCAAACGATACTGAGGTACAATGCAGTACCTACGCTACACTACGTACGTACCACTACCTAGCGGCGCGTCTCTGGAACCTTTTTGACGTACACTACCTAACGTACTGCACGTCAAGCGCGCCCCTACCTACCTAGTTCCCGGTCCCGCGTAGCCCCAGTACTACCCAGAGCAGCACTTCCAATTCACATTCCACTTACGCAGTAAGGTAGACGCGCCGCGACGGCAATCGGGACTTCGTCAACCGTTGCTTAGAGGCACCCATAACCAAGTCCACCGCCACAAGAGTCCCCGGCTGTTTTTTCGTCCAGGCGACCGATTCGTCATCATTCAAGTCAACCGAACGTTCAAATTCCGATTGCTCGGGCTTCAGATTCCTTTCTAGCGGCGGCTCTTCCGGCTCTGTTACTGACTGTTAACCTCCGAGTCGGCCTTTGCTTGGTCATCGAGACCACACCTCGCTTTCGTCTCCTCGACCACGAAACCAAAAGAATTGCCGTACCCATTGACTCATAGTTGATACCTATCGTCACGATGCCGACATCGCGCAAGCGGGCCCTCCAAGAGGGCGACACCAGCAACAATGCGCAACCTCCCAAGGAGCCATCCGTACTCCATCGCATAAGGAATATGTGGCAGTTTGCCAACCTTTTCCAGTTCATCCTCTTGTTCGGAAAGGCGCTTAAGTTGGACGACAGTCTTGACATCGAGGTATGTCGGGAGATCCAACAGACTCACGCTTGTTCCGAGCTGACATGTCCATTGCGCCAGGACCTCGAGGCCGAATGTCTAAAGCCAGGCTCAATGGTCCTTCAGGACATTGGCCTCGGTATTCTCAAGTTTCTCTCGTCCCATCGAGGCCTTACGTACGTCGACGGGATCCCCATGCCCCCTCACATCTGTCCCACCTCGTTTGCTTACAAACATTAGCCACGATGTGTTCGAAGAGTATACCCGAAGACAGTTCCTTGCCAAAGCCCCCGAGAAGAATCCATTCGGAACCGAGGATCTGCCTTCCAAGTTCGCCGACTTTGACGTCTTTACAAAGGTGCGACCCGGTCCAACAACAGCCTCACGACAAACGCCATTCGTCTTGCCGTTCAGTTCAAGATGACACTAACATTCGGTCCTTGTTAGATCCGTGTACTCCAGCAAATGAGTCAACTTGTCATGTGTACCCCCGAGCGCCTTCGCGAGAGGACAGAAGAGCAGAAGGACATGGACCAGACAAATTGGGTGCGCAAGTATATCTCCATGTTTAATGGGCGCTTTGGTGCTAATGAGAGATATATAGCGAATTGAGCCTTACGGATGGGACAGCAAAGATCGTACGTACTTCGTATTAGACGATAACCGCATCTATCGATTGACCGAGGCCCCGGCCCCCGCTCCCAAACCCAAGAAGAATACCAAGAAGGCCAAGGCGGTTTCTCGAAGCAGCAAAAGACGTCGCGTCTCGGAAGCGGTCAGTGAGGGTGGCGATGCTGGCGACGAGGACTCTGTGACAGGGCAACCGGACGAGCGTGAAGATGACAGTCTTGGCGGAATGAAATGGGAATGCCTCGCCGTATCCCTAGATGAGGTTCGCCAATTTCTAGCCACTATCCAGAAATCGAAGGACCCGAATGAGAAGATTCTGCGCGAACAAATCCAGGATCATCTCGTCCCTATCCTTGAAAAACAAGAGGAGTCCAAAAAGCGCAAACAGCTGCAACGAGAGAAAGAACTGCAGGCACTGGAGAAGATGGCGCACGCAAAACGATCCAGCCGTATTGCTGGAAAGCTAGAGCAACAGAAGGCGGAAGAACAGGCTCGGGAAGAGGAACGCAAGCGGCAAGAAGAGGAGGCTGCCAGGCGAAAAAAAGAGCAACGGCAAGCCAAGATGGAGAGGGAGAGAGAGAATCGACTCATGTCAAGAGAACAACGACTGAAGGAGCGAGAGATTCGCCGTCTTCAGGCCGAAGAAGAGCTGGCGCAACTGTCCGAGGACAGCAAATCCGTCGGCTCAGGACCCGGTCGCATGTCGGAGCGGCACCGACAGGCAGCGATTGAAAAGAACAGGAGAGCTCTACAGGAGCTGCAAGACGAGGAAGACGACTGGATATTTGACTGCATCTGCGGCGTCTATGGGCAGGTCGATGATGGGACACATAGCGTTGCCTGCGAGAGGTGCAATGTCTGGCAGCACAGCAAATGCCTTGATATTGCCGAAAAGGATGCTGAGCAAGAAGATTTCCATTTCATCTGCAGCTCTTGTCGCCGAAGCGAGGCAGAGAAATCTCAACAACCCCGGGTTATCAAGCTGAAGGTCAACCGCCATGCTTCATCGTCCCCTCCTCCTCAGCAGGTTGTGAGTGGCATCTCCTATTCTCAAGCTGGCCGGTCACAGCTTGTTGTCGAGCTCGGGGCTCAGGCAATGTCTAGATCGTCTACCGATCGTATTAGCGAGGAGAACCCGCGCTCTGGGTCTCAGAATGGCCCATCGGGGCAACAAGAGGCAAGGACCGAACCTACCGATCTTCCAGGTGAGAAGGAGGGTACGGCAAGACCAGTCAGTGCGACGGGGTCTATTGGGCATTCGCCAGGGCGCCGGGAGTTGAACCCATTTTCATCGCCGCATCCCACCCTGTCTCCTCCTAACCAATCGCCCGGCAAGTTGAGAGCATATGACAGCATATTTCATCCTTCTGCCCCATCTTCTGCTGTTGGCCGCGAAGAGTCGCACCTTAAAGACGAGGGCTTATTGCCTGTGTTGCCGCCTCCTGCCGGAAACGGTCGTTGGGCCTCGCCCTCAAAGCAACCGCAACGGCCGTCGTCGCCTCTAGGAACAAAGAGCTCTCCTGCCGCAGGCGCCAGAATAGTGAGCACGCCATTGCCACAACTGACCCCTGTGCAATCCGATCCCCACGCCCGGAATGGAGTCATCGACCGGTCATCACCCTTACCTCCTTCCCGCGCAGGGCTATCGCCAACCAAGCATTCGCCGCCTGTACCGCCGCGCCATCAGGTGAACGGCTCTGCCAGCGCTGGCGCTTCCCCATCAGGAACTGGTCGCGCCGCTCCAGTTTTTCCCCCTTCGGCAGCCCTTGCCCCTTCCCCTCCTCAGCAAAATTTGGCGCCGCCGTTGAAGCCGCTAAAGCCTGCCGACCCGGCGAAATCGCAGCCGCAGACATAGGATGCACCGATGCGCTAGTCATATTTTCCGCCAGCTCATGTATGAATCGACCCCCTGGCTGCCACAAGTTTTCAAGAGAAAATTCAATGAAATATAAAGTAGAAAAGAAACAAGAAGAAGAGGGAGGAGGAGGAAGAGGAAGAAAAAGAAGAAGATCAGATGAACACAGGTTAGTGGCAGGTTTGTACTTCCATTCGTGCCCAAGCCGTGGAAGCTTTCGAACGGTGGTGTTCAACATGCGGCGCTTTTTCCGTTTTGGATGGACGGCGGTAACTGCTCAAAGAAGTGATCGAGGGGCTAGAGAAGCCTCCCGCAGTCCGCGGTGGCCTCTCGGGCACTTGAGTCGGGACCGATTGAAGTCAATCTTCATTTTGACAGGAATTCTCAAAGTCTGAATCGAGGGGTTGGCCCGTCAAGGTCGAACTTCTTGCATGGTATATGCATTCTTGTATTCACACAGGCAAGTATATTCTGTAAACCACGGATTAGCAGCTTTAGTGTAGATGAATAGATGCAAAAATGAAACGGGCATCACGAGATGAGAGTGATGACAGTCTTTGGCATCACCAGAGATACCTGTCATTTTGGGTCCCAGACACCGGAATTACCGGGAAGTGGGACATATCAGCACGATGGTCTTACTGGGCATGTTGGGTTCGCTATGACACCGCGTATTGAACCACCGACGCTGTGGTGAAGAGGGTGATGAGAAGTGATAGATTGTCCTCATAGCTGATAGCTCGCAGGAGCAGATGGCTTGGGCTGGGTGTGGTTTCAGGGGTCCTGGCCGGCTAGGATGATGAGATATCCATCAAGTTTATCGATATATCTCAACGCTTCGCGATAGAGGTACCTATCAGTGCCGTCCCCAGCCCAGCACCACTCAACCTGTAGCTGAGAGGTATGTGATAGGCACTTGCCGTGTGTCCTGTTTGTTGAGTACCTTCGCCTCCGTCATGATCCTCCATACTTTTCTGGAATGCATCTGGGGTTAGACGGAAGGGATCGCCCTTGAAATCCCACGTGCTTCCAGCTCCATTGAGTTTGCGTAATCTTGTTGAAGATGCAAAAGAGATGCTCACCTTACCCTATTCCATGTGAGTAGGTATTCTATTGGTTAGCTGCCTTGTAAAACCGCCTTCTGGCTGCATTGAGAAGCAGATCCATGGGTCCCCCTTGTGATGTACTATTATACACTGCGCCTTTCTGGTCCTCATGTAGGTTTCAAAGCCAAGTCTCTCGCTTCAAGGTTAGCCTTGCCCAGAGATTGATGTTCGCTCCAAACAGAAGCGAGCTAGAAGACCGGTGCCTTAAGACATGGGCAAGACGTGGGAAGGGAGATGCTAGTGATGCAGCTACCCGACACCATCTGGGGAGTTTATCGACATCCCTCCAGTAAAAATGTTTACCAAGTTTTTCTTTGCTTGCTCCGTGCCTCCTCTCGACAGGGGTTCGTAGCAGAGCGGCGCAAGATAGTTCGAATTCCGCACTGCCAAACATGCGCTGTTAGTTGAAGATTGGTTTGTGTACGTTGAAAGGGAGGGTGGACTAGAATGCACATCCAACATGTTCCGTGCCTTCGCCTCCCACAGCGGGATTCGCGGGTTGATCATCTATCCAACCCATCTACACCGTAGTTTATGGCATGCATACTGACTCCCCCTGGATGCCAGATCTGGGATACAAACTTGGCTTGCATGGCTTGCTTTGCTTGTACACGTAGTGGCGGGAGGGGTCAGAAAAATCATATTGATACCACAAATCCTGGTTCTTCTCAACCTCCATCCCTGGGATGCTATGGCGTGTCGAACCTCCCTTCCTTCCTGATCTTGACCTTGGTAAAAAGATGCAACTGATGACCGCCCAACACCAGTCATGTGCCAAGCACGGAACGGGGATTGACACTCAACAAGATAAATGGCAGCACTTTGTTGGCCCGCTCCCCGGATCTGGACGTGACATTTGATCTGATGAAAGAAAGCCGCAACGCCTTGAGATCCCTTGGCGGCAGGTCACTAAGTACCTACCCATGCCGTTTCCGGGTGTCGCCGGCACATTCCACTCGAACACTTTCGAACCCTCATCCAAGCCGCCCTCTCCTCGGTGAACACTCCCAGTTTCCCTACTTGTCGCACTTGCGAGCGTACTGTAGTTTGTAGAAACCGCACCGTATTCACGCCCTCATGTATGCCACTCCCAAAATCGGGACACTTCAGGCCCTTGGGACAGACAAGCTCGGAGATGGTTGCGGCGTTCGTTCGTCGGCTGGATGCTCGAACCCATGAAGCAGAACCAAACAGTTGATGGCCAGGGACCCCGGAGAGACCGTAGAATCTAGAGCCTCACTGGCACGAAAAGATTCCTCTCCCATCTGCCATCCCATCCCATTCCATCCCTCCCCTTGAAGTTTCCGCTGCCGGCTCACTAAACCTATACCTGGCTTGTCTGATCCCCGTAATCCGGGTTTGACCAAGAACAGTTGGTCGAGGCTCTGCAATCCTTGTGACGCAACGGCTCATTGCCTCTGTAAATAGACATGACCGTGGATCATTTTCCAAGCGACTAGCGCTCTTCCCATTCAGATTCCCTCCCTGGGCACGGATACGTCAGGTTTGCCAGGTCTCCGAGATAGAGCAACTCGCTCCCACACGGCAGCACAACCCCTCGCCCCCTCCCCATGATGTTGCCCGTGCTTTCCCTCTCAGAGGGTTTCCTGGACTTCGCCCAGGTGGCTCTTCCGAAAGCAGCGTTCTCCTGGATGCGGCAAGAAGTACGATCGTAGACCAACCGCACCTCCAGCTAACAACCTGAATGTCTAATAAAGAAGTCTTGAATAAATACATGCTCGTGGTCTCCCCGCCTGTCTTCTTTCTCTTGTGTGTGCCCCCATCAAAAGAGTGCAACTCTGTCCAAGCCAACAAAGGCAGTCTCTCCTCGCACCCCCTTTTCCTTCATATCGTTCAGCGAGCGCGGGAGACACGGATCACAGCCGGTCAACAAGCATCTAGCCACTTTTCTCCCATACGCAGCGACCTGTATCTGTCCTGTGCCGAGCTCTCGCAAACAAAGGAGGATAGGTACCGCAATCTCCTCTAGCACATAACGCGAACCAGCCCAGACACCCCATCCCAGACAGCTGCATCTGCATCATCCTGCTGCAAGACCGGCTAGAGTTCCGGGAGTGGTTGGAAAACAGCGGTAAAGGTGTTCGAACAGACGAACGCACCACCTCGACATCTCCTTCTCCATCGGCATCCAAGAAGCCCGACATTTCTTCCAACCCGAGGGGGAATTCCGATTGGGAAGATAAAAGGACTTGTTTGTAAAAAGACAGAGAAAAGACAGATAGGAAAGGTATCACATCCTTGCTAGGAAGCGAATAGTTGCAACATCTCTTCACTTTGCCCATGTCCCAAGCCCCAAACAGCTCGATATATATCACTCCTGTTCCGGTACCAGTAACCGGATCACCTCCTCTTTGGTCATCCACACCACGAGTTATCCACTAGGACAACAGAAACAACAACAACAACGACAAAAACAACAAGCCTTGATATCAATAAGAGCAGCTGGTCTCAGAAGTCGACTGCTTTAGAAAAGAATACGACGAAGACACAATCGACCCCAGACGGCCAGGAACCAAGAGTACCAACCGACGACTTCGACCCAAAATTGCATATCCTCTCGAAATGGATAGACGCACCCCACCTTCACCTGCTCCTTCTGGGATAAGTCTTCATCATGACTATGTTCAACAACATCACCCAATGACCTTTCCCTCACAGTTGTTGGAGAACATGGCGTCAGTGCCCTTCCAGACACATTCGCAACCAGGGACAAGATATGGGACACCGGTCCCCCATCCTTTATCCCACTCTCAAAGTTTTGATACCGGACTTCAACAACAGTATCAGCGCGCCATCAGTGTCCAACCTGTAAGAGAACCGTCACAGCTCCCCCCTCATGGCGGTCTTGTATCCATGATTTGCTGACATGGAACCGAAAAATCCAGCAATATCACGGTCAGTTATACGGACAAGACAGCAGTTCCTATGGCCCTATCCCCGAGGTAAACTCTTTCCCAATCTGGCTTGAACTGGGGTTGTGAGTGGACGCTGATGATGTACCCGAACTCTTTTCAGCCCTATAGCACTCCCGCGACGTCCCCACCGACACCGGCACGACATGCCGAGTTGATGAACAGCAACCACCGAAACTCTCCCCTCAGGAACCTGACTCGGAGCTCGAAAATTGAGAAGAAGCCACCAAGGAAAAAGAAGTCGTCAACGGATTCGAAGAAGCTCGAGGGCAAAGTAGCAGCCCTACTGCTCGACAAGCCACTAAGCCAGCAAAAAGTTCCCGAAGACCTGGTGCTAACCAACATGGAGGACTACGTGAACCGAGGGAAAGAGGTGCGCCAACGGGAAGTCGAGAGCGGCAAGAACCCGGGCAAAGTCAAGCGGCCGATGAACGCCTTCATGCTGTACCGCAAAACGTATCAGGGCGTGGCCAAGGGCTGGGCGGACGAGCACAACCACCAGGTGGTATCGCGGGTGTGCGGCATGAGCTGGCCGATGGAGCCGGAGCAGGTGCGGGAGCAGTTCAAGGCGTGGGCCGAAAAGGAGCGCGAGAACCACCAGTTGGCGTTCCCGGACTACAAGTTCACACCCACAAAGCCGTCCAAGGCGCCCAAGTACAAGGATGGCAACGAGAGCGACTGCTCGGATCCCGAATGGGACCCCACCGGCAGTATCAGGTCGCGAACCCTACCGCGCGCTCGCTCACTGACAAGGGCATCCAGCGATGACTTTGACGATCATCCGCCGTATGTCATGGGCCGCTTGACCTATCCGCCTTATGGGTACTCGGCGGGTATGCATAACACAATGGCAGCCTTTGCCGGGCACCGGTCGCCCTTTGAGTATTCCAACCCGAGCAAGGCCATGCCGGCGCCGTATGAGCATCACCCTGGGGCGCTACGGGATGGATCGTACTATGGGGCGCAGGTGCACACGCCGCCAAGACATCTCCATCACGGCATGTCGGTTGAGGACATTGTCATGCGCAGGACGCCATCGCCGACCATGGCTTACTCTGGAGGGCGTCCCCACGGGTTGTCGATGTCCAACGCTGGTGCCCATGACTTGAATCAGTACAGTCAGCCCATGTTCACCGATCATTTCACGGCCAGTCCGGCGGAGTATGACCTTCCAACGCAGCAGTCACTGCTGTTGAAGCAGGAGCACTACGACCACGAATATGAGCAAAAGTATGACTCGCATCTTGAGCCAAAATACCACCACCACAGTCATGACTCGCAGCATGATCAGAAGTACGACCCCCACCACCACGAGCGCAAGTACCATGTGCTTGACGAACCGCGCATCGACCCATCGCTAGAGAATGTGTACACGACCTCGGCCGGAGCAGGCATTCACAGCATGATTGGCAACGACGGTGGCGGTGGTGGTAGTGAGGACAAAACCAGCATGACGCAGGCGACCACCTCATCGACACAGAGCGCATGGCAGCCCAACACGTTGGGATCCTCCGGGGGAGCAGGGCCCATGGCGTCGGGGGCTGACAGCGACAACGGCAGTGGTAGCCAGTTTGTTGACAGCTTCATGTTTGAGGACGAGCACATGCGGGCGCTGAGCGGGGGTAACTGGCATGTAGAAAGTGTGGACCCTCCGCTTCCGGACGGCAGCCACTTTGACACGAGCTGGATGATGGACCAGCCCGCCGTAGCTGATGCGGTCGTCAAGACGGAGCTGGTCAGCCACACGCCTTGAATGATCGTTGTCACGGGTACAATAACCACCTGGATGGGCCCATGTCAGTTAATGTTTTCCAAGATGAGGATGCTATCTTGGGAAACCGAGGCATCGCCACAATGGTGTGGTTAAGGGAGGCCGAACAAGTCCATATTTTCTTTTTCTTCTTCTTCTTCTTCTTCTTCTTCTTCTCTCTCTCTTTCTTTTATCTCTCTTTCTCTCTTTTGTTGAGATTCGGAGTTTGGAACGAGGACAGGACAGGATCAAGGTAGGGAATACAATCATGGGTGCAGGAAACGGAACAGGCACAAGGACGGGGTTCGGGATTTGGGATTAGAATTTTGGAATTGGGTATTGGAGTTGGGAAACAGGCATTGGATGAATCATGGATGGAGAAAGATACCTTGGATACCGCAACCACACCCTCCTGGATTGAGACCTTGTATGTTTAGTTTACTCCATGGCGCAAACACACCATTATATTCTGAGGCTCTGAGGCCTGTAAGCTCGGGACCGGAATGGCCAGGCATCTCTCGATCAGGGTTTCGCCGTACTAGTGGGTCGCATCTGAACGTAGACAAAACCCACCGAGATTCAGGCCAGGCAAAGGTATGTACCTACTGTATGTCGTGCGCGTATCTCAGACATGCTTGCCTGTAAATATTCCCGTTGAGCTGCCGTATAAGCCGTCCTGCCGTCGTCGTGCCTTGCATCCAAATCAGTCACAAGTCATGATCCGTCGATCCATCATAGAGTAAACAGATGACCATGACGCAGTAGAAACGGCTGCGGTGCTACGCGCAAGATATGGTGCGAGGCGGGAGATTCCGTGTTGAAAGTGGGTGACGACGACGAGCACGGCGGCCACGACGTTTTCGGCATGTGGTTGTGCACTTAAAGATCAAGCAAGGGTGGTGATTTGGAGTTGAAGCCCTGCGAGTCCATGGAGCCGCAATTGGCACCCCCTAGCCTAGGGTAGCTCCGCCGGCTGACGTGCGATGCTACCCTTTGGCCCCGCTTCCTCGGCCAAGCTCTGTAAAGGCATAACTTTGCAATATTACCGTTTAGTTGCAGGTTAATCCTTGTTTTAGATCGGCAGTTATGCACCAAGACATACACACCCTCATTCCCATGTTGCCAGTTACACGGGCACGTACCTTGTAGCTTTGGACGTCAAACATCCAAGCACTTGACGTTGACATCAATCATCTACCTATGGTACATTCCATTCCAGACACCCTTCCGCCGAAGAACCTGCAACGAAACCCGCCTCTCGTTACGTCCCAATTGCCGGCGTCTCCTACGTTGCGATTATATAGCGAACAACGTCAATCATGACGTGGATATCCAACACCATCACCGTCTTTGGCGGCCTTCTTCTCGCCCATGCGTAAGCATTCTCCTCCCCCACCAAAACATCGCGTCGGACCCCCGCCTGCTGCATACTCTACTTTACTCTACTCTACTTTGACCGGTTGGGATCTGACGACTGTGCGTACAATACAGATGCTATTCGGCCCAAGAGCACGCAGCACTGCAATCCTTTAGGGCGGCGGCCACGAGCACACTCACCTCGTCTACTCCGGTCGCATCGTCACTTCCCGTGGATATTGCCATCGAGACCATTGCCGCAACCCTAGTTATTGTGCTTGGTCTGGTCCTGGGAACGCGCCCGCTGCGGCCGATTCAATGGCGCGTCTGGGCCGGCAAGATTGAGCGGGAAGGGGAGGAGGGCTTCTTGGGCAACAACGGAGAGGTGGAAAAGGACTACATGGGCAACCCCTTCACCTATCTGGAATCCCGGCCCAGCTTTGTCGACATCCGCAGGCAGCGAAAAGAGTTTGCTGAATGGATCAAGAACGGTGGCGGCGGTACCGGAAAGAAGTGAAGAATCCACGAGACGGGGTTGAATCGGAGCCTCGCGACCTATGTTGAGTTGATGCTATTAATCTAGGCCATGGGGTACATGCACGGATAAGTTGTGATCGATTCAAACTGAAGAGCATATTGTCCACAAGGGCTTTAGCGAGCCATCTACCTGATTTGGGCCTCCTTGTGACGGTGGGGCAGATGCATCATTTGTCGCTCCACAGCTACTCTCGGTGCTCCTTCCCAAGCTGCTCTTGTGGCCAGGATGGGAGGATAGTTCCTGCCTTGAGCGGCCTTGCTGGGACATGACACACTGGACTTTACACACCCATGGAGGCGTTGGTCGACTCCCCGCCGTCCCGTCTCGACTAAAGTTTCTCTTCATCGGAAGAAGGTGGAATGACACCGACACACACATACACACAGTTCCTCCGTGCCCTTCGTATCTTAGTTTCAGAGGTGCTGACGGCGCTCATCCTTACCTATCCAACAGCTATAACCAGTATCTGGTATCCTGTCCATTGTTTATTTCCTCCCGTCGTTTCCAGCTCCTTTTCTCTAGCGGGGGGCAACCTGATTATGGATTTCTCCCTTCAGATCAGTAGCGACTCTTCTGGCCGCTCTACCTCGCCGGCGCTCACTCCATCAAGCCTGGCAGCATCCTCAACAGCCTCACCTCGTCCACATTTGAGTGCGTCTCGAGCCTCTGTGGAACCACGAAGTGTCACTTCTTCCTCTCGTAGAAGTGTAAGCGGCTCCTCTTTAGCCCTTGGAAGACGTTCAAGTGCTGCTCTACCATCTTCCACACCCTCGGGAACTTCACGGCCCCGGGTGTCATCGCAATCTCTTCCCCGACATGCATCGTCATCGTCATCCCGTCAAAGACAACATCGAACACAAAGCCCTCGTACCCAAGTCTCCAGATGTACTGGCTCCACAGCCTCAGAGAGACGATCGACATCGTCATCGTCATCATTTCGGTCTACGCCGCCCGGTCTGAATTTCAGATCTCCTAGACCCGTGGAACCCCTTTTCCCATCTACCTCCTCTCCCTTGCAACGTGAACCGCAAAGCTCCCCAAAACTGCCGACTCTACCAAGAGCATCGAATAGAGATTCTCGTCGATTCTCTTCGGCCACGCCGCTGACCGCGAAATCCTCGACTATTCAGCGTCCTACCCAGACTGTTACGTTCTCTCGCTACGATGAGGCAGAAGAGGAGAGGTACAGAGAGCAGACTTCCGACGCTCTGAACGAAGTCATTATGGCTGTCGACATGAACAGAGAGGGAAAGATTGGATGCGCATACTACGTGGTCATTGACGAGACTCTAATTATCGAAGAAGATGTCTCCATGGGCGGAATCGAAACAGTGGCCACTATCGTACTTCAAGCACAGCCAACAACTATCATGGTGCCGAACAGAGCTCCCCAGACACTAACCGAGTTCCTCGAACGGGATGCTCAAAGGCTTGGCGATGACGATGCCACCGATATTCGAGGGCTCTATATCCTTCGTCATCTTGCCAGTGCAGACTTTGACTATGATGCAGGCAAAGAAGCGCTATTGGGGCTTTACAATGACTCATCGCCCGGGTATGGGATACCGCCAGGGGAAGAAGACGAAGACGCTGTGCATTGCATTGGCTCTTCGAACCACAGGCGATTAATGCGCTTAGAGAAGGCAGTCAATCTCAATAGCCATCTGTCAGTTGGTTGCGCTGGTGCTGTGTTAAGTGACCTTGAGCGTCGTCGCAGCGCTGAAAATCTCGCTCCTGGTGCCGACGCACCACTATCTTTCAGAGTCAAGTCGATTACCATGGGTTCGCCTTCAGATGTAATGCTCATAAGCGCAGATGCCTTGTTGTCACTACAGATATTGCGAACAGAGCTTCACCCAAACCCGCAACTCCAGTGCCTTGGCGGCTCCGAGAACAAAGTCAAAGAAAGCCTCTCGATTGCGGGGCTCCTCCAAGCTCTAGCAGGTACGGTCCAAGAAAAATCAAAACTTCGCCAAATGCTCTTCCAACCAAGCATTGCTATCGGCGTGATCGAGGAAAGGCAGCGGAGTATTGCCGTCTTTCTCCGCCCTGAGAACAGTGATATTGTACAGAGCATACGGAGGCAGTTGAAAAAAGTCAAGAACATCAAGGCCGTATTACACCACGTCAGAGGTGGTGTTGACCGAATAAGAGGACAGTTATCCCTTCGGATCAACGACTGGAGGGCGCTTTTACGGTTCACAATGCTTACCACTCAAATACGGGAGGACATACGCTCACTTGTGGGAGGCCAAGATCTAAGCATCTATGCAAAGGTAATTTCAGATGCCACATAACGAGGATGGTTGGATAGTCTGCTGACATACGCGATGTCTTACCAGCTCCAAGAGGATATCAACACTCAGGGCATTCTACAGGCCGGTGAGATGATCGTGAACACGATCGACTTTGAACTGTCACAAGATACGGGCCGAATAGAAATCCTACCAGGTGCCAGTGAAAGATTAGACGAGCTCAAGGACGACTTTACTCAGGTGTACCATATTCTCTCCGATGTCAAACGAGAGATTCTGACGCAAATCCCCAAATGGGCTGTCCAATATGTCCAGGAATGTACAATAGTGCCCCGACTTGGATTTCTCATTGTAGTGGCCCTAAACCCTGAAACTGGAGAAGGTGCTTTCAATGGAACGGGGCTTGCCGACGACGAGTGGCATCAGGTGGTGAAGGATGAACAGCGGGCTTACTACAAGAACAGGACGATGGTTGAACTGGACGACATGTACGGTGATTTAACTGAGGAGATTGCCGGTGAGTTTCCATGACACCTATAAGCATCAATCAACTCTCAAGGTTCAAATCTGACAGTGATCCAGATGAGGAAGTCGAGGTAATAGTGGAGCTGGCGGGGGCTGTTTCAGAGCATGAAGATGCACTGATTCGCGCCTTGGAACTACTGGGGGAGCTCGACAGTCTGCTTGCGTTGGCTTTCGCTGCAGAGAAGTACAATTGGGCTCCACCAAAAATGACATCCGAGAATATCATTGACATTGAGGGCGGACGTCACCCACTTCAGGAGCTTCTCGTACCGTCCTTTATCCCCAATGACTGCATACTTAGAGGTGGTTGCGCATCGGAGAATGGCAATGAAATTGACTTTGTAGGTGTCAGAGACGAACCCAAAGAGCCATCGGCCTTGGTCTTGACGGGCCCAAACAACTCCGGAAAGAGCATCTACATGAAACAGGTTGCCCTAATCATCTATTTGGCACACATTGGAAGCTACGTGCCAGTCACGCGTGCGACAATTGGAGTGACTGATCGAATTTTCACCCGGGTTGCCACCCGAGAAACCGCCATGGACGATGAAAGCGCTTTCATGACCGATCTCAAACAAGCAGCCTTCTCCATCAATTTCGCAACCCGGCGAAGCCTCATACTCGCGGACGAGTTTGGAAAAGGTACCACAATGGAGGCCGGTGCGGCGGTCTTCACGGCCTATCTGCACCATTTCTTGGAGCTGGATGCGGATCGACCCCGGATGCTCGTGAGCACACACTTTCACGATGTGTTCAATAGAGGATTTCTAAAACCTGAAGAAGGTGTTGCGTATGCTCACATGGAAGTTCGACTGAACCCAGAGGCGGAAGAGAGGGAAGAGCATATCACGTATTTGTACCGTCTCGTTCACGGACGGGCTGAACACAGCCTGGGACTAATGTGTGCGGCGATTAATCATATTGAGGATGATGTGTTGAAGAGAGCAGGAGATATTTTGGGCATGCTGGAAAGAGACGAAGATATTGAGGCGGTGTTTGCGAGTCCCAGTCATGAGGATATTGAGGCATTAAAAGCTGCGGAGCTTGTTGCCAGGCGGTTTCTTGCTACGGATATACCACTTGGAGGGAGAGATACCTCGAGCGGAGTTTGTTCAATTCGTGATATTCTGAGGGGCTTTTTGTCATACAAAGAGGACGGGGGAGATGTAGGTGACGTCGATTCTGAAAAGTGAATCACGAGGCAAAATCCAATTCGTAATCGTACGGTGATTGCTTACTTGGAGGATATCGTAGACTTGACTGGATGTTTCTATATCTCTCATAGCAACAAAAATACGTTGCATTAGTGCACACCACTTTCGTAGTTTAGCTCACGTATATCTGATACATGAACGAGATGGGATGTTGCGACCTTATGCTGATCAAAAAGCTCGGACCGAGTTGTTGATCTTCATGACTCTCCAAATTAGAGCTTCCCTGCTTGAAGAAAGATGAAGAAATCACTTGTGATCTGATGTCTTGGAGTTCTAGATTTACACTCGTTTGAATGTATCCAAACTCTGTCACCGTCGACTGTTTGATGTACAACTTTTAGGACAATTGCCATTCCCAGATTCTTTCTTTTCCCCGGGTATCACAAATGCCACGCCAATGCCCTTTCCGCTCTCCTCTCTCCACCATATTCATGGTGTTTCCCCGTAACAAACACAAGAAAGCCTGCTTTCTGGTTTTGCTCTTTTCTCATAACTGATCAACTCATGAACCCCGCCCTCTTCATATCTCCTTTCTCCTTATGTCTACATTCTCTCCCAGATCGACCCGGCCCACTCAGGACAACTCCAGCTATGCAAACAAAAACCCAGCAACAGCCAAATACACAAATGTCAATTCCCAATGCAAGAAGGGCAGTGAAACCATGACGGCCATGACGGCAGAACTAGGGACGGGCCCGACAAACGGCCCATACGGACTCGAATCTGGGCGTGGTTTTGGTGCGGGAGCAGACGTAGCTGCTTCGTTGGCTGGTTTGGTTGAGGAAGTCTGGGGTCGAAGCGTGGTGGCGGTGTTGATGCTGCTGGTGCTTTCTGGCGCGGAGGCGGTGGCGGCTGATGGAGAAGTGCTTATTGATGAAGGCGATTCTAGTGTAGTTGGTACAACCGTCGGCTTTGTCGTAGTTGCTGGTGAAGGTACATGCGTCGTAGTCGCCGTTGTAGGCAAAGGGTGATGCACTGTCGTGGTCGCAATTGTTGGCGATGGGGGAAGGTCCTTCACCAGCCTGCTAGCCCATGCCTCAGCCATTTCCAGCTTCTCCTCAGGTATCGGTTGGCGGATGGCTTGGCAACCAGCTTCCATGATATCGATCAAAGTGTCGTCGGCACGGCGGAGTTCGGCTTCGCAGTAGTAGGACATGCAGGTCAGAGCCAGCTCGAGGAAGATGCCTTTGCCTGCGAACTTGCACATGCATTGCGGGTTGTCGGTGCCACAGCCGGACACGTTGACGCAGCTCTCGACGCAGGAGGGGAAGGCAAATGCTGCCGGCGATGTTGAGGATGATGACGATGTGGGAGATGCTCGCCCGGGCGTCGTATAAAGGATCGACGAGCTGGCGCATAAGAGCGCAAAACGAACGATTCTGTTTGAGATCATAGTGCTATTCTGTTTGGCTTCACTAACGAAGGATTGTGCTTAATGTGGCCGTGAGCTCCTCTCAAGAGCAGATGAAAAGGGCTGAGGTCAAGTCGCAACTCTTAAAAGCACATTCATAGTGCCTGGAAGGCGCAGAGACGAGCGGCGACGAGGTTGGTGATGACGACGGAGAGACAGACGCAAACGCAACAGACAGATAACAAGAGGAGGTTAGGACAAACACCACCAGGTGGTTGGAATCGGTTGGAATTCCCAGTGACGTTCCAATGCCGCCAGCACCTCTTCACGATGGCTTGGACGGGAGGGGAACTAGGCCGCCCGCTGGCATGGAAGACAGAAGTTGGTCTCACTTGATGAAGCCTCCGAGGTTTCTATCCGCAATCGCGTGCGGGGGCGCATTGCCTAAGATGACGGTGCTGGTGATGGCGCTGCCATCCTGAAACACGAAAGAGATGATGTTTTCATTCTGAGAAAGGGCAGCCAATCAATCGAGCTTTCCAATGCAACGTCGTCAAGGTCGGGTAAGAACTTCGTTGTCATATTGTTGTGGTGTGCGAGGGCGTCCTATGCACGTTGCCAAGGTACAGTAGATCAATCGTTCAGCATACCTGCCTTGATAGGGAACAAATTGAGGGTATTCAGAGGTCTTGAATGGAAACTATCGGGGGAATTAAGCATGGAGCACAGTTTTCCAAGTAGTGTATCGCCTGTACATAGTGTGTTGCGTAGAGCGGGGGAGGCAATCCATGTTCCGAATTTCTCATCTCATATATTTCGTTCGGCAAGTCTCCCTAAACCTGAGTAATTAGCAATACATCAACTTTCTGTACGCTTCAACTGAAAGATCGAGAAAGAAGAACGTTTATATCTTTTAAGTACTCAAATACCGTTGGGAAATCCTTTTCGTAAGCCAGCTGGCCCAGAAGGGGGCTTTGTGGGTGAAATGCTATATCATGGGTTGTATTGTGTAGAGTACGTTTGGCGGAGGGACTTGTTTTGAGAAAAAACAAAGAGATCTGTGTACACTACTTCCGCAAAAGGAGACTGTGAAGCAAGTTTTTGGGACTTCAATAGCGTCCCCCGCAGAGCGAATTGAAGTCTGTTCTTGGTGTGATGGGTAACTTTAATTGGATGGGGTAGGTACCAGTCTACGCAGTACGCGGACGACATCCATGCCCCAGATCGCCCGTGGATTGTGGGGACTCTGTCGCTTCCGGCCCAGTACACAGTGTAAGAAATCCTGTTCCTGCAGTGACGACAAGTAATAGTAAGTCGTCGGTAAGTATCGTGGGGTAGGTATTTCTCTTATCGAGGACTGCGATAAGCCCAAAATTTCCAGTTCCAAACAACCTAACGCCAATGATCCCGTCACTTCGCTAGGACCGCAAGCTGGTAGTAAACAACAAACCTCCATTTCACCCTCCATCCACTCCTTCTTTACCTCGAACCGACTAGATCCTTCAGAAAACATGGCGCCCACGAAGCCGAAAAACAAATCCCAGAAGGACAAGGCGAAGGCTCGCGCTAGAGGCGCCGCTCAACCGTCCAACGTGAACGCCAGAGAACTGCTCAACAATGCGAGTGCGATGCTCGAGGTTGGCGACATTGAGAATGCGGCAAAGACGGCAAAATCTGCCTACAAGGCAATTGGCGAAGACGGAAAACTCGCTGGCGCCGCTCTTTCCCTCTTGGGCCATATTTACGTCGAGCTGGGCGAGATCGAAGCCGCCCGCGAGTTCTTCTTTGCTGCAGTCAAAACAGATGAGGACGGCACACTCCCCGAGGATGTTGCTGGGGGCCCCGAAAAGTTTTTGTGGCTTGCGCAGCTCAGCGAAGAAGGCGGACAAGACAGCGTTTCCTGGTACGATCGCGGTGCCTCTGCTTTGCGCCTCCAGATCCAGACTCTAAGCGACGAGCTTGAGAAGAGGCCCCACGGGAAGGAACAGCAAGAGCTTCTCATTACCGAAAAGAAGAGACGACTTGCGGCAATTCTCTGCGCCGTGGCAGAGGTTTACATGACCGATCTGAGCTGGGAAGAGGACGCCGAGCAGCGATGCGAAGCTCTCATCACCGAGGCCATAATGCTAGCACCCGAGCTGGCCGACACCTGGCAAACCGTTGCCAATGTTCGCATTTCCCAAACAAGGGTGGACGAGGCCAAGGAGGCTTTGAGGCGGAGCATGGCACTGTGGGAACTCCTTGAGCCCGAGGATCCCAACGTGCCACAGTTTCCTACTCGGGTGAGCTTGGTCCGACTGCTGATTGAGGTTGGAATGGAGGAGAAGGCGATAGACGTAGCAGAGCGCTTGATCATTGAAGATGACCAAGCTGTGGAGGTCTGGTATCTAAGTGGCTACGGCAGATATCTTCTGGGCGAGAAAATCAAGAGCGGAGAACTGCAAGCTCCCGAAGGTGAGACATGGCAAGATATCTGGCGCTTGTCGCGCAAGTACCTTGCCCAATGCCTCCGGACATACGCGGCCATCGAGTACGAAGATGAAAGGCTTGGAGCACACGCACAAGAATTGCTGGACTCCATTAGGGGTGAACTTGGTGTCGTTGGCGCTGAGGAAGATGAGGTTTGGGAAGATACAGACGTTGAGGAAGATGAAGATGAGGAGATGAGTTAAATAGCCCCAACTGGCTTCGTCTCGTTTGTCTTCTAACCATACCACCTTAAGCTGAGGTGTCTTTTTCATGCAAACTTGTTATGGCATATCCTGGAGTCTGGTTAAGAGGGGAAAAAAAGTAATGTTCAGGATTGGTTTTCACATGGGTTAGGTAACGTGTATACTTAGAGCGAAATAAAGCCTACAGCCAAGAATTAGATAATTTTGGCGAACGTGATAGAGGGCTTACGATTTGTCTAACGGTCCTAAACCGTGAGTTTCTGGACCTCTTCCACGGGGACGTCATCATCGCCTTCCAGGTCCTCATCACCCTTCCCAGCCAAGCCCCTCTCCCAGAGTTGTTTACCCGTGAGCTTGACAGGCTCCTTTATCCTTGCCTTCTTCATCTCGGCCGCCTTTTCCTCTTCCTCCTTGATTCTCTGATCTTCCAGTTCCTGCAAGAAGCTCTCCCTCCACTTCAGAAAGGTTTCGCGATTGACGGGAGTGCCCTGGAACTTCTTGTTCTCTTCGCGCTCCGCGGCAAGGGCGGCCTCCTCTTGCGCCTTGATAGCAGCGTCCCTCCGCTCTACTGCCAGTTGCTCCGCAGCATCCTTCAACGCCGATACAACAGTAAAGATCATGGCCATCCCCAAATTCTCTTCAATTGTCTCTTGGATACCTTCGAGCAGCTGGAACCGATCGTCGGCAATGTTTATGTACTGATGGGGCGGCGCATTTGGGGCGGACGCAAGCTCAAGGAAAGGTGGCTTGTCGGGATAGTCTTCGGGGTACCGTACGGTAAGTACCATGCTTGGTGTTTCTTCGGCATCATCATCAGGAATGTCCAGCGTGATAGTAATCCGGTATTCGGTATCGGAGATATCTAGACGAGTCGAGCTTGGGTTAGGACAGGCCCATGCCTGAACGGCAACCGATGTGGGCGAACAATCGAACCTTGGATCTCATCTGGGAAGATGGAGTCGAGGACTTCCCTTTCTTCAATTTGTTCTTCGCGGCCCATAATGTCCAATCGGTAGGGCGTCTTTCAAGTTTGCAGTGTGTTGGACGACATAAAACGTGAAAGACTCCTTCCAAAAATGGGTGCTGGCAATGTTGACTTTCAGGCGTTTACTAACCTAGAGAAGAGGAGGGGCAACCAGACGGCACTGCAGTGACTGTAGCGTCAGGTGCAGGCCAAACTCCAAAACGCGAGCGCGGCTCAATCTATGGTGGGGTCCTGCCTGGGTTCCTTGTTGTATCAATGGACAGTTCTAGACAGTGTCGATCCAGTCGCCCCACCACAGAACCCCGGAAAGCTCCTCACCGCCCGGCAGATGCCAGGATGCGGATCCAGAAATTTTCAGCGGAAACGTGCTACAGAATTTCCAATTCAGAGGCTTCAGATACAGGGCACTCCAAAGTTTCGGATTCCCGTCTGAATACCTGCACTTTCATCCATTCCTGCTCGACCATTACCTTTGAACCAGCGCCCACCCGGTACGAAATCAACACAAACCCCCCATACCTAGATCAATCCTTCACATTCCGGAGCAACACAGACATTGCATAGCATCAATGGCGACCAAGTCGTCTTCAGCAGCCGCTGCCGGCGGAAAGAGAAAGGCGTTCGGCAAGCATAACGAGGATGGCCGTACAAAAGCAGTAAAGACCACCTCTGGCAAGAAACACATCAAGGCCGAAGCCGAAGACAACGAATCCTCCGATGAAAGCTCAGACGCCGAGTTCCACACAGGAGAGACCACAACATCCACGCCCAATGAGTCCGGCAATGGCTCCAACGAGACCAAGTCTGGTACGTTGCCTCGCTTTACCATATATGCCCCATGATAACCGAACCTCGCTCTGTTCTTTGACTAACACAACGCAGGCACAAGCTCCAGGGAGGCGCACGCCAAGCAAAAACAACTCGCCCAAGAACGCAAGAACGCGAAGCCACTGGCCGATGAGGTGCACCGTACCAAGAAGCTGTGGGAGAAGCTCCGTCGCAAGTCGCATGTGCTTAAGGAGGAGCGCCAACAGCTCGTTGAGGAGTTGTTCACCATCATAACTGGCCGCATCAAGGACTTTGTCCTAAAGCACGATGCTGTCCGTGCCGTCCAGACCGCCGTCAAGTACGCCACCCCGGTTCAGCGTAGGCAGATTGCGAAGGAGCTTCAAGGAACCTATGCGCAGCTCGCCGAGAGCAGGTATGCCAAGTTCCTGATCGGCAAGCTTCTGGTGCAGAACGACAAGGAGATCCGCGACATCATCGTCCCCGAGTTTTACGGCAAAGTTCGCAAGCTCATCAACCATGCTGAGGGTTCCTGGATTCTGGACGATGTCTACCGCGGTGTTGTGACCAAGGAGCAAAAGGCCAACCTCCTTCGCGAGTGGTACGGTCCCGAGTTTGCTCTGTTTAGGCAACCCAAGGGTACCGAGGTCACTGGCGATCTCTCCAAGATTTTGGCTGACGAGCCCAGCAAGAGGACAACGGCAATGAAGTACCTTTTTGACATGGCCAATGGCCTCATTCAAAAGAAAATGACTGGTTTCACCATGCTCCACGACGCTCTGTTGCAGTACTTCCTCAACCTTAACCCCGAAAGCGAAGAGTTCAAGGAGTTCTTTGAGACTATTAAGGAGGATGAGACCGGCGACTTGCTCAAAAACATGGCATTCACCAAGTCTGGCGCCCGCCTCGTGTGTTTGCTCCTTGCGCACGGAACCGCCAAGGACCGTAAGCAGCTGCTCAAGGCCTACAAGGACACCTACCAGCTCATGAGTGGTGACAATCACGCGCACGCGATCATCCTCGCCGCCTACGATCTCCTTGATGACACTGTCCTCACGTCTAAGACGATCTTCTCCGAGATTCTTGGTAAGAATGAAGAGAAGGATGCCGAGCACGTCATCTTTCTCGCTAACGACCTCAACGCGCGCACGACGGTATTATATCTCTTTGAGGGAATGTCCAAAGCGTTGTTCCCTGCCAGCCACGCCACCGACCTGGAGATTCTGAAGGAGATTCATGAGATCCGCACCAAGACCAGCAAGAAGGACGCCGAGGTTAGGCGTAAGGAGTTGGTGACGGCCATGTCGTCTCAGCTCCTTGCGGCCATCGCAAGCTCACCCGCCGACCTGGTGGCCACCTCTTTCGGTTGCCAGTTTGTTACTGATGTTTTGCTTTCGGCGACTGGAGATAAGAAGGCCGCGTTGGAGGCTATTGCCTCTACTGCTGGTGGCGATCCCAACGCTGAGGCGCCCAAGGATGCCTACCAAGCCCTCCCCCCTCACATCTCGACAACCATTCACGGTGGTCGCATGTTCAAGACACTGATTGCTGGCGGCCGGTTTGACAAGGCCACGGGCAGCATCCAGAAGGTCGACCCCCCGCTCAACTTCGCCGATCTTCTCTATCCCGTCATCAAGGACCACATCGTACAATGGGCCACCGGCCCTAGCTCTTGGTCGGTGCTAGCCATGCTCGAGGCTTCCGACTTCTCGTCGAAGAAGGAGCTCCTCAAGACCCTCAAGTCCAACAAGAAGGCTCTTATCAAGGCCGCAACTGAAGCTCCGGCGTCGAAGAAGGAAGAGATGGAGGAGAAGTCAAAGGCCAAGAAGGGCAAGGATACCTCTGCCCCCAAGGGCAACCAGGGCTCGAAGCTCCTTTTGGAGAAGCTCGATGCCTAAGTTGAGGAAATTGTAGGCGTCGCATGGCTATAGTGACAAAAGTGGACGGTAGCCACAGGTTGACTAAATACCCCTTTTATGTTGTTTACTTTGTCAATGCGATTTTGTTGGGCCCCGCGTAATTTGCGGTTGACTGATAGCCCTGTTCACGAGTCTGGACATGATATATATGATTGTATAGAGAAAAGCTTGCTTCCAGACTTCCCTGATGGTTCAGATATGACGCTCGAAACAGGCCGTGGCCTACTTGGAGTGAAATACATCAAAATCTAACCAGACAGGAGCGAGACGACTTTCTGATATTCGCCATTTCGGACCTTGGAAGGCCTTATTATCATATGACCTTCACATTGAACCACTTGTACCACAGATCTCGAGGGACCGGACAACCTCCCCATATCAACATGGCGTGTAGAGGCAAAGTGCTGTGCAAACATTTTGACTGCGGTACCAAGACCGACATTATCGGGTTCACCGTCGCTTGATGGCTAAGTGTCGCTTGGAAATCGAATAGAAGAACGGAACTGCCTCAAGGCTACACCCGTGCAAGGCCGCGTATATCCTTGTGCACCGGCCAGCTCACCGAGCGACCATCGCCTGACGGCCTTGCCATATCTGCTGTTCTGATAGGTAAGACGAGGGTTTCCGAACGGGCAGCCAGCCATGGGTGTCCTCGGTTTGCGTTCCGCCAGGCTTGGAAGCCTTCTTCTCTTTTCGTCGAGATCACATGAGGCACGAGGCCAGACATCTCGATTCGTTGGCCGGGTTGGAGTTGACGAACATATCGAATTACCACTTAGTGTCCATAGCCTATTTCATCCCAACAGTCATACCATAAGGGGTATTTGCGCTCCCTGAACCCCTCCCAGATTCCCGGGCACCAGTGGGGAGACCGCGGCTGGGGAAACATACAAGTGTCGTTTCCTTCCTCAGGTTGCCGTCGCTTGCTCTTTCCACTTTGGTGGTTCGCCCCTCCACCGCTATCTACGAGTGCTACTCCCTCTTGCTGTTTGCTCTCCCCTCTTCCTTTCCTTCAACTCTCCATTCCACTTTCTTCTTGCTCGAGCCGATACCTTCCTTCCCTTCCATTTCAGCTCAGCTGTAGTTGTCACTCTTTCGCCGTCGCCACCCCTTCCAACGCGGGCTTCGAACTCAACCTCGGACTATTCTGTACCCAAACGCCTTCCTCACCATCCATTCTGGACAGGTTCCCAGGCACGACGAGTCTCTCTCACCCGACCGAGTAAGAACCTCGAAGCCATGGCATTGGATTTGTCCAGGAAGCCTCCTCACGTACATCTCCCTGAAGCAGCCCCGTTGGTCGCTCAGAGGGATGGCGGAAACTGCCCTAAGGGTTACCAATGGTACACATGCAACGTGGCCCAGGGCATTCCCTATGCTGGCTGTTGTGCGATGGATCCCTGCCGCCCGGATATGGTCGACTGCCCTGATCGGTATAAACCTGGTGGTGAAGATGCCACGACTACCATAACAAAAACTGCCACTGCCTCTACCTCTGCCTTTACCAGCACGGAATCTGACAAAGAGTCATCGTGGACAAGCACGACTTCCGACACTTCCTCGACAAGCACTATCAGTAGTGCTTCATCAACCCCCAGCGCCACGGTCACTGCCACTCCCGATGCACCGCCCATTGTAGTCCACAAGGAACTTTCAGCTGGCGCCATAGCGGGGATTGCAGTAGGCTGCTCCCTGGCCTTCATCTTCTTCGCCATCTCAGTTTGTATGTGGTGGGGCCGACGACGCGCGAAGAAAGATGAGAAAAAGGACGCCATGGAAACTGCAAACGTTTCGTCGTTCCTGGGCCCAACCGACCGAAGCAACCCAGCCGAAACGGCACAAAATAAGAACGTATCCCAGTCTAGCTCCCATTTCCCGCTTGGAAGCTACCAACCGGTTCCCACACCCATCCCTTGCGAGTACAGAGGACGAGGTAAGCGAACTCCATCCCCCGAGCATCAGACGTAACGTAGTCGCAGTGGGCCAGCAGGGATTTCTATATTGACCAAAACTCTAGACGCGACAAGCTCGGGATCCCCAACCAACACGAACTGGCCAGGCTCGCCGATGGACTATGAAAGTCACCGTTTCAGCGGAGCGACGACCATGTCGACACCAGCGAGTCACAATAGTGCAAGCACTCCGGCCAGCCCGAACTACCCATCGCGAAGTGCTTCGGAACTCGACTCAACCCAGGCGTACCAGCAGGGTGGATGGGGCAAAAGGTTCGAGCCCATGCACGAAATCCCCGAGCTTGAAAGCAATGAGAGGCCACCGCAACACACCCGGGGCCCGAACAACTAGAGCACTCCATTGGACTGAGCAAGGACACACGATGGCTTGATTCTGAAGTCGGTGAGCGGACGGGTTTCATGAGAGCCTACAACGTCCTGCCACACAAGAGACGCTGAAGAACGCGATTAGCTTCCACGAGAGAAGCAATTCCAAGCACGAAACGCTCTTGGAGAAACGGGATATGCTCGAGCTTCATGACTGATTCGGGCTATTAATCTAGGCACATCAATGACGCAGGTGACGTGGAGGACACTTACTCCGACTCACCAGGATAATGTCCTGGCCCTCATCTTGCCTGGAAAAGAACCGATTGCTATGGGATCACCCGAGCGAAGGACTGGAATACCGTGGTAAACAAGAAATGATAGATGGTCTATTGATCAAAAAGCGGCCCTTAGACGCCAAACCATGCATTTTCCCCCTTTCCGTAACCAGTCCTGACAACCATGATCCAGCTTGGTGGCCCTTTAGTCTTTTAATTTTTTTTGTAAAAAAATCACCGGTTTCCCACCTGTTCGGTCATCTCCCAGGCGAGCAAGTTATGCAGTGTGTCGTAAAGAAAAATCTTAGCAGATAGAAACAGAGGACAGGAACAAAAGAAGCAACTCAACCCGCATTACCAATTGCTGTCCTACAAAATGACTCTCTCAGGTGTGCCCTCCTAGGTGCTCATGAGCTTGGCCATCTCGTCCAGCAATTCTTGTAGCTCATCGTCGGTGATCTTGTCCGCCAGGGAGGGGATCAGCGTCTTGCACTCGTCGGCACTATCGCAACAGAGTGATCCTAGATAGCCAATTTCAAAAAGAGTCAGTCAGTCGCATCGTATCACTTCCCTTTGACTAGGCAACCATACCAATCTGCGCCCTCTCGAACTTGGTCAGCTCCTTACGCGCGCTCAACAATCTCTCCACGGCCTCGACGTTCTCCTTCTGCTTGAACCGCGCGAACGCGTCCAGGTAGTCGAGCGTCTTGTTCAGCACGTCCGTCTCGTTCCGGTCCTTGCGGTCCTTGCGACGCTTGGTCATGAGCGCGTTGATGACGAGGGAAGCCTCTGAGAGGGTGAGCGTGTCCACGTCCTGAAACTCGCCCAGCTTCAACACCGCCGAGGCTTCCTCCTCGCCGGGAGGGGGCGGCTTGGAGCGCGAGGTAGGGGCGTGGTGTTGGTCCGACATTATTTTAGGTTGAGGGTTCGTTTGTTCGTTCGTTCGTTCACTTGTTCACTTGTGCGTATTGTTTGTTGGTTTTGTCATCTGGTGATGGGAGCGTGCGCGCCGCTGGCTGGCTGACCTGGCGTTCTGGAGAAGAAAGACGGTATTCGGATTGATGCACTCGCTACCGGGAGGGAATTTGATCCAGATTGCCGATTCGTTTGGCCGGCAGTGTGAGCCTCGGAGATTCTTGTCTTGTTTGCGGCGCCTTCGACGTTGGGGTTCTTGTGGGCTTGAGTCCTGCTGAGCCTTCCAAGCTACGGTTGTTGCGCTCGAGTGTTGGTGGTGGTACTGGCTGAGCTGTTCGAGAACGAAGGCGCTGTATTCGGTGATTCGAGGAAACGTATGCTTGAATATTAAGGTGGTCGTCGGCTCGTGCTTTTGGCAATCAAGATTTGGCGTTGAATGGTTGAGGTTGTTGAGCACCTGGACGGAATTGTCACTGGGAGGTTCCAGGTTGGGAGTCTTTGTTTGCCGGCCGTGGCCCCTGTGCGGCACTGCGTTCACTGCACAAATGGTACCGACAGAACAGCGTCATGCTAACATACACTACACAGCGTAAGATACAGTTATACATATTTCGTCAAACGAATTGGCATCAACATCACCAACATCTACAATGTACTCCTGGCTGTTAGCTCGAGACCTCGGGTCAACACGTGTCCAGGCGTTTCCACATCCACTTTATATACGTTTTTATTTCTCGACTATGTAGGTTTATTGAGTTAGTCATATGTTCAATCAAGTACTGGTATTCATGTCTGGCTGATAATTCTGCAACTCGAAGTATTATTACGGCTTTGAGGACGGGTTGGCACCGACGAGTCTCACTCAGTCCGTAAGTCAAGCTGATAAACAAACCAGTATCGGACTGTACCAAAACAAAAGAGGGGCATGTTGACAACTTACCTTTGTTTGTAATTCATCCCAACTCGAACTCTGGTATGAGACTGCTGTTGTATTTTCGTTTATTTCCTTTTTCCTTTTTTTTTATTTATTTTTTTATTTTTTTTTGAGCCAAAACCTACGCTTAGTCATGTTTTCATATTGGTATCTTTTGCTTTCTACGTTCTGCGCGGAACATCTGGGAACTGGTGGGTATTCCATGCCGAATCAAGCGCTTACATCCATCCCATCGTGACATGACACTCGGCGCTCTGCCCTGCGGACGGAACGAGAAGGACATAATGGTTATTTAACATACGAGTTACTCTCCCCTTATCGTCCAAGGCTGGCGGCTCCCTGGGCCCTTTGTTTCACTTCCGCTTCGTTCCTCACGCCCGCCCTGCCTTCTTCATGGGATCTTGGAAAAGTCGATGTGCCAAACCGGGCGTAGCTCTTCATGACTGCTACTTTCCCCGCAAAACTGCCTCCCAATGCATCCCTGACCTATATGTGTCCCCATCTTTCAACCCGGCTATCCGTCTCGCTCTTCCTAAAGACGCCACCATGCCCCAGGCCTCGACAAGTCGAGCACGAACAAACCAGAACCGCGAATGCTCCCAGTCAGACTGTGGAACGAGAGGCATAATAGCCCCAGCAGTTGTGTGAAGGGAATCCCAATCACATCCATCCCCCTGCCTTCATCATTCTGCCTACAACGCGGAAAAGACAAATAGCTGTGGGAAAGATGGTTAGCTATCGATAGGGCCCAGATGAGGATGCGGTCAAGAACTAGGGGGGCAATAACTTACGTTGTTGGTTGCTGCGATGGCGATGCTGTCCTCGAACGGATGCCAGCTCATATGGAGAATCTTCTTGTTGAAGTCGATTTGGTCGGCGTCTGTCTCTTTACGCATCCTTTGGCCCTGGCCTGCCGCTGCCGGGCTTCCTGCCCGTGAATTTCCCTTCTTACCACCGTTAGCTGTAGGACTTGTCGACGAATTAATGGGTGTCGGCACCCCAACTTTCTTGGCCTTGAACGCCGACTTATCCGCTTGCAGGACGACCTCCACCTCCTTGTCGGGATCCGATGGGTAGATCATGAAGTTGTTGTTGTAGCTTCCTGTCATTACGTTCTTGGCGTCTCCAGAGAATACAACCTCGAATTTGTCAAAAATGCTGTCATTTTCGTATGTGTCGCAGAGTCTCGGCCTGAGGTGTTCATGAATTGGGATCGTCTTGACTGGCTGCCGCTCCATGTTGACATCCCAAATCTTGACCGTCAAGTAGTCGCGAGAAAGGATATACCGGCCGTCGTGGGAGAATCGAACGTCGGAGATGGAAGATATGATTTCAGAGAAGAAAGATCGGGACGATGGGTCTTCTTCTTGTTCGAACACTGTACAGGGAAGAAAAGAACGAATTGTAAGCAATGATCAGCGGTAAATAGAGATAAAAAAAACAACACTTCAAACACAATTCACCGAAATCCAACGTACTCTTTGCGTGCTGGTCGCACAACGCCCTTTCGCGCATATCTGCCAGCTTGATTGTGCCCTTAGAACTGGCATACATGAACCAGTTGCAGCTCAGAGGGTGGAACTCTGCGGCCGTAATGACCTCTGTCAATTCCTCCATGTTCGCCGGCTTGATGTCCACAATGTTGAAGCTCTGGTCTTGGATATTCAGATTCCATAGGTTGATCCGCAAATCATCACTGCTGATGAAAGTCTCGCCATCGCTGTTGACGGAAATGCTGTTGATGTGGTACGCATGAGCATTGGCATATGTTCTCCGAGGCACGGCGGCAACGACTGTGTCGTGATGGGTAAGCCTGGGTAGCTTGAGATCGGCGGGACTGCGAAACTGAGTATGAGGTAAGGCACGAGGTGCGCCTCCACCGCCGGCTACGCTTGCAGGCGTCAAATCATGGGATAGGTTGTTCTCGGCGACAACCTTAAGCGACTTCTCGAACACCTTCCATAGCTTGATCGTCTTATCGTTTGTCGAGAGGAGGTAGTGGGAGGCATTTTGTCTCCTGCACCACTTGATTTTATTGATCTTTTCCTCAATTTCAAGGGACTTGAGGTAGTCGAACTCGGGCTCGTGGGACTGAAATTCGGTATGAAACTTGTATTCGCAGGTTTTTTTCTGTCGACAGGTAAGCAAGACATAGACAAGAGGCGGGCCAGCAAATAAGCCGGAAGGGGAAAGGGGGGGGGGGGGGGGGGGGGGCTTTTTTCCCAAACCCCCAAAACGTTTTTTTCCGTTAAAAAAAAAAAAACCTCCCCCCCTTTTTCCCAGGCCCCAAAAATTTTCCGGGGGGGCCAAATTTCCCCCGGGAAAAAAATTCCCCGGGAAAAGGGGGGCCCTTTTGGTTAGGGGTTTTTTTACCCGGGGGGGGGGGTTTTACGGGCCCCTGGTCAAGGAACCCCCCTGGGGGGGGGGGGGGGGGCCACCCTCCGGGGGAGTTCCCCAAAATTCCCCTTTTGCCCAAAAATTTTTTTAAAAAATTTCCTTCCAAAAAAAGGGGGGAAACCCGGAAAAAAAAGGGGCCCCCCCCTGTTAAAAAAAAACTTTTCCGGAAAAAGGGTTTGTCCACCCTGGGGGGGAAAATTGATTCCCCCCCCGG